GTTAACATTATAAACTCTCAAGCTTTCTTCCTCCATTTGATTTCATTTCGCCTTATCTTTAATTTAACATCTGGACCGGCTGTGTATTCTTTTTTAATCACCAAGGTAAATATCCTCAAAGTGAGATTTCCTATTACAGGTTGCAAGAGTTTGATAAGATATCTTGGTTGAGATACGTTCCATCTCCTTTTTTGCTTACTTAATGATCTTTAGATTAAATAATCTTACGTTACAACTTTTATACACTAGCATAAGGTGAAAATGCTAAATGAAATTTACCTAGTCTTTATAACGTTTGTCTGTGTGCATAATAATTCGAAAAATCTGCCTAATCTCACAAGTGAAGCAATTCTTTATGATGTTATGAGTGTGGATAGCTCAACGAAGATGCTAAACGGAAATTAGAAAATTAAGCTGCTTTCCGAAAAATTAAGTATTAGTACTTGAATAAGCTGAAATTATTGACATCCAACCTCCTCGAAGCGTTTCTCTGTAAGTTGCAAACGAAAATTCCGAAGAGATTTTTTACTTTTATTAATTCTTCCTTTTTTCATAAGTTTCTTTACAAAAACCATAATGTCAATTTTATTTTCTTTCCAACTAAAAAAAAAACCTTTGAAATCCGCTTCTTCGATTTGTTTCGAGCTTCTTGCTCCTCTTGGAAAGGCTAATTTTTCTGTAATTTCGCAATATCTCATTCATCCTTGCAGATATACTCGATTTTGTAAAATTAAACCAATTAATCAAATATCTTATTTGCAAATGCAAAAGTATTGTACTGCTAGCAGCTTACTGTAACGATTGGTAAGCGAGGACGTAGTAACTAGATTGGATCACAGTGCTTAGATTGTGAGGAAGAAATGGCTTTGGCTTCTGTTTCACCCAACTTAACTATTGGTGCCTCCCTTTGAATGTCACGATCCTGTGGCCAGCAAAATAGAAGACAGACCAAAGTAGGAATATATTTATTACAAGCAGAAGGAACTAAAAGCGTATATGAGATAAGTGTGAGAGATATGGGCTCACATCCCGAGCCGAGCGAGGGGCTGATCGGACTAGTGGTCTGGCGAATTCGTGATCCTAAAGAATACGTCCTTCGGAGTTGGTGATTTATTGGCAGCGGCTGCGTGAGAGATTACGATGGTTTCACTATGCAGCCGTTTTTCCTACATTATTTTGGATTCATATCAGGATGAAGTCATTCATTCATATTTATTCATCTATCTTATGTAATCACTAAAAGACAGATGATGGTTATCACCTTCCTCCTCACCTTTTTGTGTCGATACAAGAAAGCTCTTATAGTATCGGTTCTTATTGACCTTATACTAATGGAGCATCTTGGTTTGACTGTATTACGGAAGATCAATCGCAAGCAATGTTATAAGCCACCAGCTTATAACATAAGAAATGTTTTCTGTACGGCGAGAGAGAGAGTACCGGAATAATGATGATTTTACTCAGCCAATCATGTTGCAAGATGTGATGTGAAGATTTGCCAGATATATGCACCCTGTCAAAATTGACATTAATTTTGCGACTTATTACAGAATATCAAGATACCGCAGTTTATTAGTACGCAGGTGAAGTCATTATTATACATCGAAAAAAGACCACATACCCTCACATTGCGCGTTGTATTGGAAAAAAATTATTTATTAAAATTTGGTCACACGTCTATCTATGCTCTGACTTTATAAATTTAATAATAAACTAATAATAAACTGCTAATAAAACTTTAGAAATTTAGAAAAACTTTAGAAATTTTTGTTATGTCTGTGATGTATCTTCCCCACTAGAGTAGTGGGCATGACGTGCTCGAACTCAAATTAGGAACAACCTTGAATCTCTTCATGCCGCGTGTACCCTGCCGTGATGTTACAAAACCTCGCAGCGATAACAAATATTTTCGTCTCAGACCTCGGCGGCAGGTCTCCGGAGGTCAAGCCGGAATTCGTTTTTGTGAAAAAAGCATAGGGGAAAGGGGTCCGGGGTGGTGCCTGGAGTTCAGTCTCAGTCATGACCGTTTTCTCCGCAACATGAATTCTGAAGCTCCCTCCCCTTCCTAGAGCGGATATTCATATATCGGCCTACATATTTTTGTCTTATTCAAATTATTTTAAATTTAGAGTGACTCCGTACACATTTGAACTGTTCAAAAACCTGCTCCAGTACAGGTTTGATGTTCTTGTAAATGCGCGCGTTTGCGCGGGAAGTCCAAACGAGAACTAAAAAATCCAAATAAACCCGTTTTTCTAAGCGAACAGGCAATGAACAGCCACCGCAATTGGCGTAAAAATGCGCAATGAAGGGTAGAAGAAGTGCTTGAAAAAACTTTGAAAACTTATGAGAATGTTAGGTCTCCGGCGAAGACCTTCTCCGGTTAGCAAACACTTTTTTGTTTCTCAAAATTTTGCTTTACATCAAACACTTATTGTGCACTTATAGCGCAATAACCAAATTTTTCTTTGCTAGAGCCTAAAATCTTTTTACCTTAATGAAGAAAACGCGTCTATGTGAACAACACTACAGTGCTTGCCCTGCTTGCACGCTCTATACCGGTTACAAAGGGGGCTCCGTAAAATGCTGGATTTTCAGGCTGGTATTCGTTCTCGTAAGGCTCTTCGGAGACCTCATGCCGAGGCCTGTTTCGTCTTGAATATATCTAACAAATAGTTAAATAGCTTTAGAAAGTTTCACAGTGACTATAATTTTTTGTCATAATATTCTGTCCTTTTTGTATTGCTGCTTTATTAAGAAACCTAGACGTTTAAGGAGCTCACTTGAGTTGCGCTTGTCATTTTAGCAGTCATGGCTGAAAGCTTTGGACCAGCCGAGGCCCATTTTAACATGTCCGCAATGAGAATAAAAGGCGATAGGTGACCCCCCGACTTTTCTAGCGTTTGCCTCATCGGCCCTGGCGAACTCCGTAACCGCACGATACCGATAATCGAGTCATTGTAAATGAAGCCTCCGCAAGCTATAAAAACCATAGCTAAGCCCAGGCGGATATGCAGGACCGCTGGGATAATGTTTATATTTTAAAGGCTAACTTGCCATTTAGAGGGGTGTCGCACTATACCAAATAATGAAGATGCGCTGGTAGTTCTATCTTCTTTTTTTCTTGATTTCCATTCTTTTCCATAATCTTGATACACTTTCC